ACATGCTGTTCCGAATTCAGGACCTGCAAATCATTAACAGGGAGTTCCTACGGATTTAAAGATTATGTCCTGCTTCCACATCGACCATGTTTAATGGTTCTCAAATTTTACATCGGTTGACACGAAAGCAGGTCCATATGTATTTAGTGTCAAATAATGTAGCGATGATGCACTACTTAGGTTACAAATAAAAATGACCCAATCTACAAATCTTGAGTCTTACCGAATGTTAAATCGATCATATTTTTGTTAGTACACAGCGAGTGCTTGACAATTACTGTAACAAGACTTGCATACAGATAGATTTCCAAGTAAACATGAACAGAGCCGGAGAAATCAATTGAAGAATATCAGCGAATGAGTGCGCAGCGAAGAGCTGTCGCCGGGAGACGGTAAGTGAATCTGAGATTTTCTTTCTAGAAGAAGCGAAAAGTCTCATGCTCATGCTTTAATGCATTCTGCACATGCATACGAGTGTTGTCACGATAATTGCCAGGTACTGATATACGCACAACTTGTTTCGCTTTCTCCTTGTTGATTCTCTGAGTGCGACGCTCAGCGACCTCCATCGGAGTTAAAGGATTCTCGTATTCTATACCGTAGTCGGCCAATACGGCAGCATTGTTCGGATTCTTCATCGATGGAGTCACCAGCATCGGCTTCACGGTCGGTGTGCGCTTATTGGACACATTCTTGAAGATATCGAACCTCTGAATGCTCATCTGCGTGAATGATTGATTCTTGTCCTGATAGTGCAGCTGCGACGTCCTCATCGGCTTGTTACCTTTGCTCTGTTGCTGGAAGAGAACAGGACACGGAAGATGTAGCTATCAATTTGCGTTCTTGTTAATAATTCTGAAGGTTGCCGGCGCCTTCATGAAACAATCTCCGGTTGCATGCAACTTGGGACTTAAGATTCGAGTAAACGAATCACACAAACTCGAATCTTAAATCGTACAACCCCTTCAAAATTTTGTAACTTTCGCCTATAGACTTCACTCTCATTGAGTAATCCCCAGACGGCAAATTCTAGTGATCTTACATTATCCCCAAAGTAAATGTACCTCGCCAAGCTGTGACGACTTGTACACGCTTCCCTTCTGCTTCTTTTGCTTCTTCGGCGCGACGTCGTAGAGCAGCTTGCCCTCTTCGCACGGCTCCACCACGGTCTCGTATCGTGTTCGGCATTGTTTAAACGACCTGTATAACCGCGAGCAGTTGTTGACGATGTCGGCGACTAGGTCCCAGTTGAGCACGTAACTGGCCGGTACCATCATAATGTTTATTGGTTGTGCCTGGTACACTTGAATGGATTGCAGGAGCAGCCAGTCCTCGTTTATCATCCAGTCCGTCGGCTGATCCGGCTCGACAATCGCTTTCGCGTGCGACGACGACGAGCCTTTGATGCCCAACGCAGGCACCGGCGGGCGTATCATCGACCGATATTTATACATTTTCAAGTCACGGCGTAATTTCAGCAACATGGGCAACGGTCGCTCGAACAGCGACTTTGGTGTATACACGGACTCATCCTTGTGGCGTATCTTCGCCGGACGAGGACCTGCAAGTGTTAGAAGTTGTTAGATAACAGTAGTTATCAATATAGTTATTAGTCAGTAAAATTTAGTTTAATCTTTATTTAGAAATATATAGTTTTTGATTTCCTTTTTTTTTTTCTTTCAGAATATGTGGGAAAGCAACCCGCCTTTAAATTCGCCAGTTTGACGATGAAACTCACCGTCTTCGCTAATACCAACATCGATCCTGCATCTCTTCCGTTCCTTCTTGACATAAATCGGTGGTAACTGCGCTTCCGACATGGGAGTGTTCTCATAGAGGAACCCCAGAGAATAGTCGATATACACATCATTATCCGTCGTGGGAGGTGTCGGTGGACACCACATCTATCGAAGAAATGTTAATGTAGTTAATCACGCTCTCGAAGATATAGTTTGAATTAAAACTTGCTGATCCTTTATTGCATTTAATATATTCTCAATATGCACTAATATACAGCATGTGTATTCTTTCTAATTTTTTATACTCTTCGAGTTTGTAGTTTTATACTCTTTGAGTATGTATTTTATGAACTTTCAGAAATCTTTGCAAGAAATTGACCTTGAGTACTGAGTGACAAATCAAATCAATCGTGTGAAATTTCATTTGCGAGGTTTTGCAGCGGGAATTCATGCAATAAAGGATTGAAGGACATCGGTTTTGCGATACCTACCGGCATCTGCTCCATCGTGTGTTCTGACAACCATATCTGCAAGACGTTAAAGCCAAATATGAGACATCATGAGATACATGAGAACTCTCACTCCTGAGGGAACCCTGAGACTCCCACCCGAAAATGTATCGACACGGAACAGATTTAGCATCATTATCCATCAATGTCCGCTTTGTATAAATCTTCCCTTTACAAACAGCGTACTATCTTCGTACTCAAGTTGTCTTCGACTAGACAGATCACCATAAATAATTCTAAAATCTGCCTTTAATTTTAATACGGAAATCAGGCGAGTTTATAGACGTTCATCTGCAATAGAGAGATCTCGTTCATCCGGGAGAGGACCGCCATGACGAGATGATGACTCGAAGATGATCATCGACCTCAGAAATAATTTCGAACGAATGCGGGGAAGTTGGGAGGAGACTGGTGTTGTGCGAGATATCCACTACAATTTCCACCTTTGACATTAATCGACCTCTTAACGTGACCTGTTGCTGATTATCAAGGCATAACATTTTGCCAAAGAAAAGCGAACGATAAATTTGGCGACAAAATTGTGTCACGAGAATAAGAGATTGAATTAACGGAATTTAATTAAGCGGAATTTGCGGGATATCCTGCAGACGTTCGTTCAAAGGCTCTCGTTCCCCTCGTTCTAAGCGCCCGGAAGAACAACATTTCCTCATTCTCCCTTGTCTCCACCGTTTGTTTATGTTGCGTCTGTCTGATCAGTTTTTCTTTCTCTTTCTCTTTCTTTCGTCATAGCGTGTCTGCTATTTCCAATGTGCTGAATTGACATCTCGATATACAAGCGCTTGCCGGCATCTTATACGCGGACTCTTCTCGTTCGTCAAACGGAATCTCCGGACGTTGTTCTCTACGAGAAGCGGGAGCTCCGCGCCGCGTAGAAGACGTTCACTCTCACATGTGCCTGCTTATAACTTGCTGCTGACTCCAAGTTTGGAATGGCAAAGGCAGTGTTTTGGTGCCATTTTTTACATTTTTCTCGCCGGAGCTCGTTTCTACTCACGCGTACTGAGAGGGTATGTACTTTTGTTTCTTTTCTTTTCTCTTTCTTTTCTTTTACATTTCAAAGAAATGTGCGGTCATGACAGCCTTGCCACACCAAACCGATATATAATACGTAGACGCGAGAGAACAAGAAGAGAGCGCAAAGAGAATGCAAAAGAATCAATCGTCGTTCTAATAATTCGCGATAAATATAAACAAGCACACTGAGCTGAGATATATATATATACACACATATGTATATAATGTATGTATATATATGTATATATATATAGAATATATGACTTTTGACACCAAAACGGAACTGAACCTTTGATCGACACAGACTTGGAAACGCATCAAGAAATAAGGTAACACATTTCGATGTAGCAAGGAATATTTCGTTTATTTTTTTCCTCCTTCATCGAACTCGCTCGATCTCATACAAAATACAGGCACGCAACTTAAGTATTACGGTATGTGTGGTATGTATACGTGTGTGTGTGTGTGTGTGTGTGTATACGTATGTCTCCTCGTATGTCGTGTGTGACGGGGGAGGCAAGTGGAAAGAGTGGAGGGGCATCGTTCGGGGCACAAGGGGAGAATTATCCTTATATATTATATTATATATAATATTAATTAATAATCAGGTCATCATCTTGTGAGTTTACGTAGCGCGAGGCATCGTCGAAGTACGACCAAGGTCCCTCGTTTCGACCGCTCGCCGTTCTTTCTTCCTCTACCGGGTAAATAACCGTCCGCGGTACAGGAATCGCGTGACTCTCCGTGACTCACCCTGACCATTCGCCGTCTCCTCGACGAAGAGTTTCTCTCGACTCTTCTCTCGTTTCGCACAACTCAAGTTGAGCCGAGGTTTTACAGGTGTGTGTGTGTGTGTGTGTGTGTATATGTATGCACATAAGGTAAGATCGAATGAGCGAATTATCGCGGCTTAAATTGATTCTTATATGCAAGTAGATGAGTATATCTTCTTAACTCGATAGCAAAACGCTTGGACGACCGCGCTCCGGGACATCGCGAACTCAGTTCTCTAAGAGAATAGTGCTACAATTATCTCGTACATTATTGATTACCCTACTTCTAGTGTCGAATTTAGTTTCATTAATTACGCGTCTCACACCGAATACATACCTATGTAATAATTTAAACAGCTTAAATCCCCCCAGCTTCGGGGTAGGCTTGAGTCAGAATTTCATTTCGTCAACTTCTCAGAAAGTTGGATCGGACCAACACTCGTTCCGGCATCGAACTCTCTTAATCACCGCTTCTAAGGAAGCAAGGAACTAGTGAAAAGTGATTACAATCACTGTATTGCTAATTGTTGCTGCTCCTTTCAATCACTTGAGCGAGTCACCTAATTTCATTCTCTCAATCTTTCATTGTATGAGCGTTCGGATAAAGAAAAAAAAAAAAAATATATATATATATACCATTACGTCGAGAGCCTTTGAGAATTTGGAACATCAGACAAAATTGAACAGGACAGCGAAGATGATCAGGGCGAAATCGAGTCTTCTTAAACGCGTGCACCATTTTTGCCTTCAACAACCTCTTCAGACTTCACTACGCATTCTCGATCGCAACGTATTCGTCATTCAAGTATGCTGTGTGTATGGTATAAATCGTCTAGTGTGGCACACTAGAAAATTGCTCGACTAAAGCTCTACACACCGGTGTATGTGTGTGTGTAGGGGGGGGGGGAGGAATTGTGTGATGAGTGTGTGTGTGTGTGTGTGTGTGTTGTGTAATATGACCACTTTTCCTAATATAATACACCTGTTCGTACTTGTCTCGTCACACCGTCATTTATACGACTGTATAAATCCGCGAATAGTCTAGGTACCCGAAGAATCAGAAGAATCGGTCCTTCTTGCCTGCACTAGCCTACGTCTCAGTTTACCGTGCGCAGCGGTCTACCCGGAGAGGAGACAAGAATCTCAGGATGAGGGGTCGATACGGGGAGCACAGTCAAGAAGGACGGACCCGTCTCTCTCGGTGCCTGCGTAAACCGAATTGGATAAGAGATGAAATGAGATGAAGACAAGGTGAAATGACGACATGAGAGGGGCGGCGAGGCGGCCACAGAGCACAAATTTACAACGCTACAAATATTACACGTGTACCCGGGGTACAACCGAGGAAACTCATTGCTTAAATTGTAAGTCGTATTCGTGATTATGTACAAAGACGACGACGCGCGCACCAGCGCACCGCGTTTAGCGCCTAACGCGTCCCCGCTCGACTCTCTCGTTCTCCCCCCCTCACCGAGGCGAGGTCCTCGTCAGTTTCATGACCCACGAGGACCTTCGCCGGGCACTCTTCCCGCGTGAAATACGGCAATACAAAGTTCGTCTCTGTTGCGGGATGAAGATGTCTGTCTTCCGCGTCAGCCCGGTCTTTTCCGGAGTCTTCATCATCGGCAACATCGCATTCTCTTACATCCGCATACGACGTTGACAAACCTCGGGGAGGCGTCCCCTCGTCACGATGACGAAGCGGTCACGCGTAACAACATCTCACCTCGAGCCGGACGGCCGCGTTTAGCGCTGAGCACGGCGCGCGAGTGCCGACGCGTCATTAGCGGCGCGCGCGTATAACGCGCGAGAAATCGTAGACACCTCCTCTATGGACCCACCGGGGTCTCGTCTCTCTTCGCGCGATGACAATGCATCGTGTGACGAGTGTCGGGGCCGAGCCTGGCGGCGTCATGCACATACAGTAGGCGAGCTACAAGTAACCGGCGGATCGAACAACGATAATAGCGCTCGCGACGGCAGCAACGACGGCGGCAACGACGGCGGCGGCGACGACGACCATGAAGACAGCAACAACCGACCGAGCTTCAGCGAGGCTCAAGATACCGTGGCGTTCCTCAGTTTCTCAGAACGCGTCTGAGCTTGCGTGGAGGAGGTGGAGGCGGAGGTGGCAGCGGAGAGGTGACTTGAAGTGCGGGAGGTAATCCTCTTGGACGGTGGTTCGTCGTCTCGGTCCAACTGTCCGTCCTCGTCAATATACGAAGCTACCTTGCCGCGTTTGTTCTCCCTGCGCAGTCTCTTGGACTTGGAGTCGGGGGATGAGTCGTAACCTTCGCTCTCGGTCTCTTGTTCCTTCAAGGAGTCTGACAACCGCGTCGTGAAGACCTCTTTGTCTTGCGCCTTCACCTCCGAGCTGCCAGCGGCGCAGTTGACGGCCGCTTTCGGCTGAATCGACGAGGGAGCCTTGCTGTTGTGGTGCTGATGATTGCTTCTCGTGTCCAGAGTGAGGATGGCGACGACCTTGGCTGTCCGTTGCGGTTTCTCAAATGAGTAAGGCGTCATGGAGCCTCGCTCTGTAGCGTCGTTCGCGCTCGGCTCGCGCGTCGGTGAACCTCGAGGTGGCTGTTGCTGCTGCTGTTTCCCGCTGGTTCGTGGCGTATTGCTGGGACAGGGCGGCGACGTGGCTGCCTTCGTGGCGGAATTCAGAGTCATGCCCGAGCGTGTCACCCTGGGGACCGACTGCTGTTGCTCGTTGTTGCTCGTAGGAACGCTCGTCGGCCGTGGAGTGTCCGGGCGACGCTTCAGCTGAATATTCGGGTTTCGCTCCACTATGACGACCGCCGTCGTCGTCTCTTTGCTCACATCCGGCTTCATTGGTGGTATCGACCTGCTGCGTCGGAACGGCAGCGGCGGATTCACGAAGCCGTTGTCTTGGCACGAAGACAACTTGGAGTTTTGTCGGGTTGCGTGTTTCTCACCTCGATAAGCGGAGGACGACGAGGCGGCGGTGATCGAGTCGTCGAAACTGACGATGGTCGCTGCAGACCTCGTGATTGGCCGAGGTAGTGGCGTGTCAGGCCGTCGTTTCACGGCGGTTACTCGCAAAGGTGAGTTCCGCGCGTCGCCGATCAGCGGCGGCGTGAACGAGCGACCTATTGTCGATCGCGTAACTCTGCTCTGTTCAGTGACGGACTGTTGCTGCGGAGAAGAAGACGACGAGGACGACGTCGAGCGAGTGCACTGGCTCACCTTCACTTGCGGTGAGGCGTTCTTGGTCGCTTCCGCCTCGACCTTGTCGTCTGCCAACCGCACGTTGCTTTCTTCCGGCCGACTGTTGCTCCCAACGGCCACCGGAGAGAGCTTCGAGCTGCGAGTAGTCACGCCTCGAGGGCCTGCGCTTGCTGCGTCTATTACAACTTTCCGTAACTTGTATTTCGAATCACCCGAGATGACCTCGCACTTTCCTGGCGACAGGACCACCGAACAGTCGGAAGACACCGAATTCAGCAGGGAATCGCCCGCCTTCTCCGAGTCCGTGTTCTCGCTCTTCGAATTGTTAAATTTCTGACTAGTATACTTTCGCGTCGCTACTGTCGTCACCGGCTCGATGTTGTCGTGGCTCCCCTCGTCAACGTGTCGCGCGTCGTCCTCGTCGGACAAACTCACGTTGTCGGATTTGGAATTTTTCTGCGCGACGGACACGCGAGACACCGCGGCGCTCTTCACGAACTTGTCGTTCGATGAAGACAACGATGACGACGACGGTGACGACGGCGATGACGACGACGACGAGATGTCAGGACTCCCACTTCGCAGCGTCTTCGAGCGTAGGAGAGGAACCGAGCGACTCGCGGATGAGTCGACGCTGTTCCTCTCCGACTCCTTCGAGGCCACTGCGTTCACGAGCTTCACTCGCGAATTATTGAACAGAGAATTCGCCGACACGACGATCTCGGCTACGGACTTGGCCTCGCGCGTCGTCGCCGTCGTGGTCTCCTTCGCGCGCTTTAAAGACACGTCCGATTGCGCGCTGCCCGACGAGGACAGGGAGCCCCTCGTGTTGACGTTCACATCGAGATTCTCCGCGTCCTCGTTGCGGTTCACTTCGGGCCCGAGCTTCCGGTAGGTCGCGGAAGTAAATTTTTGCGAGCAGCGCGTCACCTGAACAGAGCAGACTGTAGACACGAGGTTAACGCGAATGACCTTGTCGCTGTTTTTCTCCCTCTCTTTCTCTTCTTTAACGCCTTGCTCCGTGTTATCCAACTTCGATTCTGCCGTTTTCGCTTGATCCGGTTTTGCGGGAGCAGTCGGTGTCATCGGATCCGTGTGATCATCGGCAAGTCGCTCCGCGTCAACGTCAGCGTCAGAAACGTGCTGCTTTACACTGTTTGAGGACGTCATCGAGTCTCGATCATCCTTCAACGGACCTTGTTCGTCTTTCGACGAGACTTCATCGTTCTTCGTCGAACCTCGATCGTCATTCGTGGAATCATGATCGCTCCTTGACGAACCTCGATCGTGCTTCGTTGAATCTTTTGAATGATCATTCACCGAATTGTCATCGTCCTTCGACGAGTCCTGCTCACGTTTCATCGAATTTCGATCTTCGGTTGCAACTGAATCGTCCTTTGACGAAGCATGATCGTTATTCGTTGAATCGTGATCAATCTTCGGCGAAGAGTCACGGTCGTTTCTTGGAGAATCATGGTCGTCCGTCGACAAGGAGTCTCGCTCATTTTTCATCGAACCTCGATCGTCCTTCGACAAGGAGTCTCGCTCGTTCCTCGTCGAGTCACGATCGGCCTTCGACGAGGACTCTCGGTCGTTTCTCCTTGAATCACGCTCGTCCTTCGACGGTTCTCGCTCCTCCTCCGCTGTCTTAATCTTCAAGTTCTCATTCGAATTAGCTGATGCCTTGGCGTTCGCGTTGATCCGAGTTCTTCTCTTCGTTATAACCACCGGCGACGATGTCAGAGAGGAGGAGAGAGTTCTCTCGAACTTAACGCAGCGGAACTTCGAGGTGCGCTGCGGTTGTTGGCGACGACAATTGGGCTTCACGCCCGGCAGGATGGGACTAACATCCAAAGTCCACAGATTGATCTTAACGTTCCCCCGGGACCTGGTGCGAGGACTATTCAGATCAAAGTGATTGCGACCGCAGGTAGCGCCCGCCAGGCGACCTCTTCGCCTCGGAAGACCCTCTCCTCGCTCGGTGCCGTTACCTCCGTTGCTGTTCGCCCTGTTATCCTCGTTGCCTTCACTAGCGTCTTCCTCCTCTCCCTCGTCATCGTCTTTGTCGCCTTCCTCCTCCCCTTCGCCCTCGTCACCTTGACTTTGACTCTCCGTATGACTCGATTCCTCGTCGAGACTGTCTTCCACCACGTCCTCCTCCTCCTCTTGCGACTCTGATTCCGACTCCGACTCGGTGCTAGTCGTGGTCTCGTTCTCGCTCCGCGATGACGACTCGCGCACGCCACCACCCCTATTACTAGCGTTATTCCTACTTCTACCGCCGCCGCCACCGCGTCTACGCGAACTTCTTCTACTCGGTACCGATAGCCTCTTATTAACTAATCGTTTGGAGCCGCCCTTATTAGCGGCGGTGCTATTAACCTGATTCTGGGCGTCCTCGCGGCCGAACGTCAGCGGCTTCTCCTCGTCGTCCTCGGCTAATCGCATGCGTCGCTCCTCCTCCTCGCGCAGCGCCCGCAGCCGGTCCAGCTCCCACTCCTTTTTCTGCTCCTCCAGCTCGCGCTCGGCGGCAGCCAGTTGCGCCGTGGAGAACGAGCCTTCGGACTCCTCGATGAATCTCATCGCGTACCGCTCGATTGGGGTCAACTGATGATAAGTGGAGTATTAGCGAGTCGTGAATCGATAGCGGGAATGTGTGGTTGAGCGGAGATTTGCATACTTGTAAAAATGATGTTACCATGAACGAGATTACCGATCATTATCGAGAAATACTTGGAAATTCAACAATTATACATCTAACGATTACTGCTACATTTTACCGATGTATCGATATATCTATTAATTGTTGTTAATAAATATTAATCTTTGAAAATGTAAAGTATACATAGGCACAGATCTACTTTTTTACTTTCTTCTGAGGGTGAGCTAAGTTGAAACTTGAAGTTTGAAATTAAACATTGGATTCTACGACGGCAGAATGAAAGAAGAAAAGTAAAAAGTCCTTAACCGATTACATAAACCGAGAAGATACCGAGATGGAAAAACATCTGTCTACCTGAGAAACCAAATGTTGAACTTCCTGTTCCGCCTTGCTGACTTGCGCGTCGTCCCTGTCAGCGTCGTCCAGGGGAATGTTCTCGTCGAACTCTGCGAGATCAGCGACTGCCTCCGCCTTCGCGGTCTTCGCTGCCTGAACATCGAGATCTTCTTCGGCCGCGGCGAGTGCACTCTCGAGGGCGCCGATAGCCACTTTTTCCTCTGTATACTGAGACGACGAAGAAGATGCACCCTGGAAGGGTGTTGTATCCTTGCTCCAGGCTCTCTCCCGGTCTCGGCTCTGTTCCAGTACTTCAGCCATTCGTGCTGACGGATCGTTTTCTGTTTGGTCGATGTTGAAGAGATCTTGAATAGTGGACTGAAAATAATACAACCCCGTTGTACAAAAAACTATATATTTATTCGTTACTAATATTAAATCTAAAAAAAACATTACGATTGCAACAAATTGTGAACCTTCAGATTGATAAACTATGTAATTTTAAGAAACATAAAGCCGAATCACATTGCTCCACAATTCTCTACAATCCTCCAAGAAATGCACCACACTGTCTGAGAACAATCATTCAACCAACTGGAGCTTGCGAGTGTACTTACACTTTTGAAGTACGCCGTGGTGAAGTTTCCGCCTTCAATGGCGAGGTCTCCCAGTAATCGTTTCTGATTCGCCTTCTTTAGGATGTTCTCTTCCACTGTCTTCTCACTGACTAATCTGAAATGTAAATTACGATACTTACCATCGCGTTCTTGTTTCTATTGAAAACATTTACATACTTCTCTGCAAGTCGTTAAAATACTCCATGTTCATGTTAATCAGCGGCCATACCTGTAGATATGCACATCCCGCGTTTGCCCTATTCTGTGACATCTGTCCTGTGCTTGAGCGTCCATCGTGGGGTTCCAGTCACTGTCGTAGAATATCACTGTATCCGCGCCCGTCAGATTTACACCCACGCCACCGGATCTTGTGGACAAAATGAAGCAGAAAATCCGCTTATCGCCGTTGAATCGCTCCATCAATACCTGCGCGTCAAATTGTGATTGTCCATTAATCATTTGCCGTCTCGTCCATGGAAGAGTAAATCCTGCTCGAATCGGATTTTCACCTGACGCTGATCCACTCGTGTGGTGCCGTCCAGCCGCAGATAAATGTGCCCGTGGAAATTGAGGAAAGCTTCAAGCACGTCCAACATTCGAGTCATCTGCGTGAATATGAGAACCCGATGATTGTCGGACTTGAGCTTCCTCAGCAGACGGTCCAGCGACTGCAGCTTGCCGCAGTCATACTGGATCAGTCTCGGGTCAGGGAATTGCGTCAGCATGCGACCTGAGATCGAATGGAGCAGGGCGAATTTCGGCGACAGCTGATGCTGCAATTCCACTCTTAGGCGACGCTCGTTCCACAGCTTATGTGGCGGTGGGTGGGACACGTGGAACCGAGGTACCGGCGCGCGTACTGCTGGCACGTGAACCACGAATCTGCACAAGTATCGAAACAAAACAAAATTTGATTATATTTCAACGTTTAATTTCACAAATTTCATCATATAAATATATATTTTATCATTCGGATAACTATATTCTATTTTTTATAAGTATATTTTAAGATTATTATCGAGAAAATATTCTTCTCTGAAATGGGCATTACTTAAAGGAAGAAAAGTAAGACGAGTAATCCCTTTTCTTAGTGACGGAATGTTTTTGTTTATGCAGACGAAGGAAAAAAGAAAAGCGGCGATTTAGATGAGATAATAACCTTTCGAAGACTTCCTTGAGCTCCTCGACGATCCGCTCCGTGGACTTGATGGCTTCCGCAAGTGCCTCCGTGCGAGAGAAAAACTCTCGGCGCATCCGTGTACTCTGCTTGACCGTAGCACAGTGCATCCATCCGTTGTGCCAAGGACAAGCCGTTGACGGCTTGCCTATTCTCAACGCCATGAACAAGTCTTCACCGTAAAGTGGACAGGCTGCGCATCTCCGTTCGTTAATGTTCGCTATGAGTCGCAATTTGGCCTGCCGTCTTTGCCGTCTCTCTTCTTCCAGTTGTGGCTGAAAAATGACCAACACGTTGAACCAAAAATAGGAAGCAGGGAGAAAAGCGTTTTTATTTCATTAATTTGATTATACGATATTTATTTATTTAATTAAATAATTTAATATTTAATGAGTCTAGAAGCAGAACTTACCAAATGGAACTCGGATTTCGGCTGTTCCTTGCTTTGCGCCTTGTTCGCCTCCTTCTGAGATTGTCTGGTCACGATACTGCGTATCGGTTGCGGTTGTTGGCTGCTATTGCCACTCGACGACTGCGTCTGCGAGGCATGGCTGACGTTCAGCGGCGGCACTCTCATAACAGGTCGGCCGCTCGTAGTCGTCACCACACTGCCGACGACTTTGTTCACAGCAGTCCCCGAGGAGGACAGGCCCATCAAGGATTTCGATAGCACCGTGAGACGCTGGCCGCTCGGTGTCATTACTGGAAACGAGACTGACAGTACAAAAGATGTTACTCTTTTTTTATCCTCTAATTTATCGCAACTGAGGACGATCCTCGCGACGCCGCGAGGTGACGTTGGGACAACGTCGTCGAGGCACATACCTGCGTTCGTGTTCTGCTGGTTCGACGTAAGAATGATATGTCTACCGGTGGAGGTTTGAACCAGCTGCGCGAAACTGGGCATTGCTATCCTTTGGACGGAATCGCCTTGCTTGACCGTGACGGTCTGCGCGGTCAGCCGCTGCAAGCCATCCCTGATGTTGGCGTTTCCCACTGTGATCCTCTGCGCGTTCGTCGTCGCAGTGGTCGACGTCACAGTGGTAGTGCTTTGCGGATTGTGCGCCAATGTTGCTACCGGAATAGCTGTTACGAGAACGATAAGCATCGTTAGCATTGATGACACAGATTTGCTCATGTCGAAATTGTTTCTATAGTGTTACAGTGAAGCTTTGCTGTATGTACAGTATCGTATTTCATGGAGTATTTTTTCCAATTTTATAAAACTAGCTTAGACAAATTCCGTTCTGTGGCGCATAAAAATGCGGCGATTCATTAACGAATTGTGCCCTTGGTTCTAGAATGCTTATAAACGGTGAGATTATAAACAAGCTGGCCTAAGGGTCGATTATTCTAGCACCACTGCAAAGATGACTGTATAACGAAAATTCACAACAGCCATTGATTAATGATGCACAAGTCTGATCAACTTCACGTATGTGTGTATGTGTATGTGTAAATTATATTAGTTACTTTGTGTATAAAATCACAAAGTAACTTGGTAATGTTACATCGAGAAGTTTTAGGGTTAACTTTAAACGAAAGCTTTTAAAGCTGCTTCTAGAAAGACAGAAGATCGTTTACCTTTCACGCTACCCTGATGCTGTACAAGTTGCACGGAATATCCTTGCAATTGTTGGCCTCCCGCTACTCGGAGTGTTACACCTAGAAACAACATTGTATCTCGCAAGACAAGTCGTGACGATCGAATCACTAAAAATTAAGAGGAAATGAATGTTCGTTCTTGAAAATTTCATTTATGCCATAAATATAAAGTTTCGCACTAATGAATTAATCAAAATTCAAACAATAATTCTCTGTGCTAAAGGAAGAGAACTTACCCTGCCCCGAAGCAGCCTGACTGGCATTTAACGACTTTATGAAGGGTGACGTACCCACTCTTGGCGTAGGTAGTACACCGGCCAGATTTTTTAATTTCGTCTGTGTGTGTTGCTGTTGTTGTACATTCGACGGCGACGGTTTCGTCTGATTCGACAATCTAACGTTAATCTTAATCCGACCCGACGGACAACGCGGCGCCGCTTCCGGTTGATTGTCTATTTCCTCTATTAGTTTTCTTGACGTTTGCAGTCGTCTTACTCTGTGTGCGACAAATGCACTGAGCGTCAGCTCCAAATCTAACAGTAAAAGGTTCACGCTAGACAGATCGATGTGCTGCAAAGTCAAACGTTCGCAAGAAGTCGGGTGACAGTTGACACTTGAGAGTTTCCTAATGTTAAGTTGGAGACACCAGCGTGAGACACACGGTGTGCTTCATTGAGCTTCTTTATTCCCTTTCTTACCTTCAACGGGTCGTAGTCGAGGGTAGCCCACACTAACGAGGCTGTCACGAACTCGAGTGCCTCCATCTGAAACGGCGAGACGGTGGGTCGCACCTCGAACAAGTTCGGATGGTTGCACACCTTCCGAAGTTGCATCAGCACGTTGATCACGCTTAAAAGATTCCCGCTGGCGAGTGTCTCTCTGGTCCTTTAACAAAATAAAACCGAGTTAATAATTTTCTAATATCACGATTAAACGGTAAACAATGCAGTTGTAAAATAAAAAAATTGTGACGATTACGAAACGAGATATTTAAACGCGAAGAGAAAGAGAAAATATGTAAGCACAGAATAAAAAGAAAGGTAATTTTAAAATTTTCAGCTGTCATACTGGATACGCTATTTTTTTCGCTGTCTTCATATCTTAGTATTTCTCGGCAGGATATTAATCATTAATTGATCGAGACAATTATTGTTCAATATTATTGTTTCTCCACACAGGATTCGTATGTCAGATGATGATCGATTTTTGACACGCGAGTTTTAAATGGAGAATATTGCTATCTCGCTGTTTAATGATAATACAGGCATCATTATATTGAATTAATGTCCGTTGTCGGCAGCGAGTAAATAAACAGTTTCGCGTGACAGAATCCTCCGTTTCCATGTTTCAGCGTTAAAGAGAGATTACTCACTTGGCTCTCGACATAAAGTCATCGTACAAAAATCTCTGACGTTTCGACAAACGACACATCACTACGTGCTCATATTTCTTCGGCAGTTGCTTTTCCACTTCAGTTTTCAAACGCCTCAAGAGAAACGGCCGCAATACCTGTAGAGAATACCGTTGATTTATTACATTGCTTGTGTAAAATTTTCAGTTGTCATACTGGATACGCTATTTTTTTTCGCTTTCTTCACATTTTAGTATTTCTCGGCAGGATATTAATCATTAATTGATCGAGACAATCATTGCTCAATATTATTGTTTCTCCACACAGGATTCGTATGTCAGATGATGATCGATTTTTGACACGCGAGTTTTAAATGGAGAATATTGCTATCTCGCTGTTTAATGATAATACAGGCATCGTTATATTGAACTAATATCTGTTGTCGGCAGCGAGTAATATTTGTAACATGATATATTAATAAAATAAGTTTGTTCTTTTTAGTTACACTAACAAGCTATTACATTTCCTACCCTCGATATATTCAATCGAGCATCAAAGATGAAGAAATAGAGCTCGAATAAGAATTTAAAGTGCAGAATATTTAGCAAAAAAAAAAAAAAAAAAAAAAAAAAACATTGAACATGAACCTTAACTCAAATAAAAATTAAAAAGAAAAAAGAAATACGAAAAGAAACAAGGTAAAAAACTACGTACAGACCTTATGCAGACGACGGATGATGTTCTCGTTGTATTCACTGTTTCCCTCGATCATACCCGTAACGGGATTGCTGAACCACTCCTTGAATTCTCGATGAGATTGAAACACATTAGGCATGAGAAAGTGCATGAGCGACCATAGCTCCATTAAATTGTTCTGGAGGGGTGTGCCGGTGAGCAGTAACCTCCTGCAATGCAAAATCGAACGAAAGCGATGAACAATAACGTCTTGACAAGGACTAATCATAGCATTTTTTTTTTGTATAGTTTCCCAATAAAAGATCCTCTGAAACGAATACGTACCGTTGCGTTTGAAAATTCAACAACAATTGCCATCTTTGCGACTTAAAGTTCTTAATATTCTGCGCCTCGTCCAAGATAAGATACTTCCACTTCTTCCGTCTAAAACTTTGGTGATCTTGTATGACTAACTTGTAAGATGTTATGCATATGTGGAAGGCGTTCGGTTTTGTCCAGCCTATAAAAATAGAATGGACGCATGAACTATGTTCTACGCGAAACTCTTCGAACGACATATTAATCTGTACGCAAAAGAAAAACTCGCATTTGTTAAAATGGAAATTTATATTTGCACAAAGTAATAATAATTAATTAGATGCAATTAGCTAAATAACACCAAGTTCTTCGAAAAACTATATGAAAATCCTCCGAAGATGTTAAATCGTTACCTGTTCTCTTTTGCTTTCTTTCCTTCTGTGTGCCGTAATACGTCAGTATCTTGAATCCGGGACACCATTTCTTGCATTCCATTTCCCAATTCAACATCACGGAAGTCGGCACGATGACGAGATGCGGACCCCAGTTTCCCTTCTCGCAGGCCAGATGTGCCAATAACGCGATGGTCTGTATAGTTTTACCAAGACCCATCTCGTCCGCCAAAATACCGTTCAGTTTTCTATCGTACATGGTAACGAGCCAATCCAACCCTATATGTTGATACTCGCGAAGCGGATGTTTCAGCAGGAAGGGTATTTTTGTAACAACCTGAAACGTACACGCATGAGGTCAAAGATTACTTGATTTTTAATACACAAAAGAGCGAAACATGCTGTACACTCAGACGCAAAGACATAAATCAACATTCTTGTAGTGATTAGTTTCTAGAATAATACAAACATGATTATTCGTAACATAACCATCACCGTTAATCTCCCTTTCGGAAATAGTGATGAACAAGAATACTGCTACATCACTTTGGATCGAAAGGATCATTTCTACTAACCACCAGTTAGATATTATGATGCAAAGTGCAATTGAGATAGAAATGAGAATTTTCGGAGTTCCTATAAAAATCCAGAATCATTTTTAAGATATCAAAGTAATCGACAAAACTTGAGATAATTATTAAAGTTAAGAGATATATCTTATACTTCACTCGCACTCTGCATATCTGGTTTAAAGAAATGAAATGCAATGAAAGAAACTTACACTAGTGGTGAGTAATGTGTTCCCCTTAGGCTGAATGCTTTCGGCCAACGCGGCGACGTTATCCATTTCGTTACGAGCGTCCGAACGATCGGCTTCTACAGTCTGTAATAAGATAAATAATTAATGTAACATTAATCAGTTGCACAGATATAATTCTTAATAAGAAAAAATCGATCCAAAATTGGTTGCAAGTGCGGTTGAAATCTCAAATACTTTGTATATAAAAACGACTGGTAACTCACTTTGTTCTCCAACTGTTGTTCGCCGGACGGATCTTCGAGAAGAGATCGAAGACCCACATCTGTCTCTTCGGCGTCACTTTGCGCCTGAGCTGTTTCATCGCCACTCTCATCGTCGCTTTCCTCGCATTCACTCTCACTACTACTGGATTGCTCCTCGTTATCCCTTGCCGCTTCCTTATCGCTGCTCTCTTTATCTGTACCTGAACAAAACGAGAAACATTTTGTTAAACCGACATGGAGTTTCGTTGTTTCCGCGACAACGCGAGAATCCGCAAAATTTTCTCAGACAAATGCCTCTATTTACAGCACAAAATTGGCAGTTGAAATAAATGAGAACCATTTATTTCATACCATCAGAATTGGTAATAGTGTCATCATTGGAAACTTACATCAACGAGATAGCATAAGAGGAATTAGCATATTAGGAATTATTAGAAAATATATTAATTGCGATATTTTGAAAGTAAAAAAAAAAAGAACCGATAAATATAAGAAGTAACTTTCAATTCAATCGAGAACTAACCTTCAATCTCTACGTCAACGTCCATTAATTCTTCTGACATATTAGCGTATTTTGCCGCGAGTTCATCGATAGACATTTCGTTATCCGCCTGGAAAAAACAAAAAAACAATTTTTACTCAAACTTGACCAGCGATTTACGCCTGTTACATACACATTGATTAAAAAAAAAAATAAATGAAAGAAAGTACCTTGAGTTCATCGAGTTCCCGTCTGTGATCGACATCTCCCTCGAGTCTCTCTTCTTCCATAATGGTATCTTCCTCATCAGAAGATTCACCCGACACCGCGATAAAATCGACATCCCCATCGGTCGTTTCTTCATTTTCCTGCAACAAAAATCATTTAGATTAGTCTCCTTGGTTGTGAATTAATGTCTAAAAATTATTACAAAGATCGTTCAAGTATCTTTAAAGAATTTACAATTTATAAGATATCCAATCGCCGTTAGTATAATTTAGCAGTAATTAAAATTAACTGCTTTTCATATATATATATATATATATATATATATATATTAAGAAACTTACATTTCGCTCGGTCTCGTTCATCGCATCTTGCGGCGACAGGCTCTTGTTGCGATCTTCCAGATAATCTCCACCAAGTTCCCTCAAGAGATCCTCCAAAGGTATTTCCGATTCTCTCTTTAACAATTCTACTTCTTCCTTGTGGTTAGTCGTAAGTTTCATCTCCTCCTCGGCCTTGGCTATGGTCTCCTCGTCATCATCCGAACTCTGATTCGGCTGGAATTCCTCTGTAATGCGACGTGTACATTATACAATAACTACTAAATCTAAAATAATTCCTACGGCGCGATATGCAATTTAGATGAGGTGATTTATGTAAATAGTGCAATTAAATTCATCAAGATAATAAAATTGCACAATTGAAATCATTTACAGAACGTAAGTAAAATGTACCATCGGAATGGCCTTTGCCCTGTGGCACCGGCGATGAAATACGTGAACTATTCATGGAAGCCGGGATACTTTGAGGGCCGTCGGTCTTATTGAGACCTTCAGTCAGCCACGTGGAATATTTTTCCGTTTGACCGACGATAAAATTCAAATGTTGATCCAACGCTTTTTTCCGTTTCTCCTCTAACCTCGTTTGCTGCTTATATTCCACCAACTGCAAAGCAAAACGTAACAGATATTGCGACAGTTACACAAGAGTATTGTGAGAAAAATGTTGAATAGCATTAAAAGAAAACCATTGTGCTTTTTACTCGCAAAAGCAAGACTTTTCACATTGTTATCGTTAAATATACAAATGTATTATAAATATCTCTACAAATAAGCTATATTTAGCAAGTAGCGAGTGTCCTGCGCGAAATCTTTAGTTGAATTTAGAAAACAAAACAACTATACACAATGCGCAGACTTTGCTGTTCCCACAACGAGCACACGCTTCTGATTATGATTCGTCAAGAAGGTCGGCTTATTTGTGTGGGGTCGCTACTTTATCGCGTATAAAACGCCCGTTATCGAAGTTCACAGATATTTTTTCGAGAAGCTTAAATTTTCTGCCCCGAAATTTTAGATTACTTTTTTTTTCTTTCAACAAGACGCGACATATAATTGCAGCTTCCAAACTTAACAAAATGCAACTACACGCCACACGGTTTTAGCTTCCTCCGCTATCTTCCCGTTCACCTTTTCGACGTTCGTCCAGAAAGTTTTGATTTCTTTGGCGACGAAGCTGGCGATTTTCTTCAATCGGAGCTCCTGCGATTTTTCGGCCTTCTGCGCCTGAATCGCCTTCTCCTGGAAATACTTCTGTACCATACGTGCGCATTTCTTCGCCGCAGCTTTCTTCCACTTGCGTTCCTGGGCGAAGTCTGCGGCTAACCAGACCATCTCCTCCAACAAATAGTCCCAATGCGCTTTAGTGCGCGCCGGCTCCTGTACCTTCGGCAATCGCCTTTCCGACCACAATCCTTCGCGCTGCAACTCGGCGATCCTTTGCATCACATATGCCTCCTACAAGATGAAATATGATTAATATAATGCGACAATTTCATCAAACCAATGGAAAAATAGTTTCATATCCATTAAAGAGAGTCTACAATTTAATAATTAGATTAACAATAGCCTGATTAAATAAATGAGAAGTAATTGAATTGTCTAATAATCGGAGAATCTCTACGATATAAATATTACGACAGAAAAGTGTGTGATAATCACCTGCTTAGCCTTCTCCACAATTTGCTCCTGATTATTCGTGATATCACAGGACGTAGTTACCGCAGTGGACGTAGACAATTTAACGAGCTTAACAATAGGCTGCGGATTGCTGAGTGTAGTTATCGTCGCGGGCGTCTTCGGAGTGGCAGTTGCAACAACAGTCGTCGATGACTTGTCTATCACGGGACTCGCAGTAGTGACCGTGGTCACCGGTTTAGACGGATCTGCCACCACTGGCGTGCCACCTGCAACGATAACGCAGTTATAAGACATCATGTATGACGATTCAAGGAAGATAAAGCGATATATATTGATCATTTGTGTGTACGGTAGCGCCCTTAGGTTTATTAGTATGCTACTAAACAACCTTACATATGCTCCAAAATAATATCTCCATCGATAACAAACCGTCTCAAAACAACAATCAAGCCAGTCATTGTTGATGGATATCTACAAGGACGGGTCTACAACGGGTAACGGCAATGACTACCAAAGCGAGAACAACGTGAAATGAAAATACCCGACGAGAAAAAACGCCGACTTAAGCGAGTAAAGAATATATATATATATAACGTATGAAAAACAAAAACGTAAAGTATGCAAGTAACAGATGAATCAACCAATGACATTCAAGTATTGTACAATGAGAACTTGGGAGAATATTGTGTTAAAGCATCCGATTGTGACTAATTGTGGTTAATTGCTTCGTCTAATGATCTTTGATGTAATTTTAATCAAATATTTTCGGCCTCTGACTATAATTTTTCATACGTAATTTATGATTCATGTCATTTGTTCCATCCAGTGGAAAGAGACAAAATTATATAAATATGTGGCTATAAAAATAAAATTTACTGGGCCTGAGTTTTACTCTATTTTTACGTTCAAGTTTTTCTGTGTGCCATAATTCTGAAGTTCATATCTGAGGAAACGACACACAATATATAAACATAAATGCATATAAATATGATGGAAAGGAAAAGAGAGAAAAAAAAAAAAGAAAGAAAAACTACGACGAGGGCCAGGTATGTATGTTTGTATCTATCTCACCACATTTCGCTTAGAAACATGCGTTGAAAAAATAATTAATATGTAAAAAAGAAAAAGTACGACAATGAACACGTGCATCGTGTACAACGCTTGACACGTGAACGTAAAACAAGAGCGCAAACACAGAAAATCCGCAGAGTCCCTTCGCATGTTCCGGTCGAGGAACTCCGACGGACTGCTCTGGAGAAGCACGTCGGTGGACAAACAGAGGCGTTCGACAGGCAGAGGCAGACGAAGCAACCTGCGGTGGTAATCACCTATAATGAGCGTGGGTGCTAGAGTAGCAGAAGCGGATGATGAAGAGTGAACGGTGACCGGTGAAGACTGGTGAATTGCTCGGAAGGCAAACACCATGCCGTGGCGACCGCCTTGAGGCCTACCCGGTATTTGTCCTGTGTATGCGTGCGCGCAAACGAGATTATTCATTTGCCGCGTTTTCGCCAGATTTCAGCTTAAGGTAATAACTACTAGGTCGCGAACGCGCGAATTAAAACGCTGAACATTCGCATCATACCGCAACACGACTGTTGGATAACTACTACATTGAACTTCGCGAATTCAAATTAACATCTGATGAACCTCAATCAAAAGTGTTCGCCTCTCCATAACTTCTCATACATGACTGATGTTTTATCGAATTTCTAAATAATTTTATTTCTAAATGATATTATCGGTGCAAAGAAGGAGAATCGTATGAAGATACTGATCGCTTGAATCTATCATCTGTATACACTAGACCGATGAGAGACACAAAGTGCAAGACCACGCGGTGATGTGAGTCAAATGAAAAATCACGAGAACGCAACAGCCGGGTTAACAACAACCAACCGGTTAATGTCGAGAAGAAAAGGGATACGGACGGGACGAGTGAACGAGACGTGAGCGTCGAATTTACCGTGTTGACTGAGTTGCGCCACAGCGGCGGGCAAAGTGGTGGACACCGCTACCGGTGTGACACCCACACCGGAGATCTTGACCTCTGGAGCGCTTTGACTCGGAGTAGGAACCACGGTGGGAATGGACGTAGCAGCAGTGGTGACGACGGGGATAGTGCTGGTAACAGTGGTTGTAGTTGCGGCGGCGACGGCGGCAGCGGCTGCTGCTGCTGCTGCAACGGTGGTAGCGGTGACGGTGGTAGTAGTGGTAGTGGGAGTGGTAACGGTAGCGGTGACGGCGGTGGTGTTGGCAGACGAAGAGATCTGCGACAGCTCCGGTATCGAGGGTAACGGCACTGTCAAGTCCTCGTCGTCGTCCTCCGAATCGAGTCGACGTTGCCGCAGGAAGTGTAGATATTGCGACGTGGGCGGTCGTTTCCGCCACGTCAAGTAATCCATCATATTGCCACCAGCCTGTAGGAAGAACAACTCGGCCACGTTCTCGACGTACTTCTCGCGGAGCATCTGCATCCGTCGCATCTTGTGCTCGAGCACCCGCCTGCGTAAACCGCCGAGATCCTCGCCGGTGAGCGTGATCGGTTTCTCACTGGATTCCGACAGTTTTAGGCGCTTTCTCACTGGCGATGACGACGGCACCAATTGTGGTGACGACGACAACGACGACAGTGCGGCCTGTGACGATGACGACGACGCCGACGACGTCTGTGACGACGACATAGGCGCTACAAAGACGTTACCTATGGAAGTGCGCACTAGCTTCGGCGACGTCGCCAGCACGACCTTGGTAGAATTTTGTCGGCCGGTTGACGGATGCGGCAACGACGCGCTCACAACGTTCACGCCAGCCGACATCGCTCCACCCACAGTTGTTGCGGCGTTGCGCGACTGAGTGTTCGCGATGTTGACGATTCTCGTGACTCCAACTTGTTGCGCGTTTGCGTTAGTCGACGAGTTGTTCGGAATAACCTGTGAATGGAAATTTAGAAAGATTAGGTCAGTGCTGAAAATAGACTTTACTCGGTCGCTATCAGTGTCGCTACGGCACATTTTATTCGATACATCACATGTTGGAATTCACGATAAACGTGTTAATAGATGTTAATAGAACCAACAACTAGAAATTGGCTGATCGATTGCTAATCGATCGATTTGATGACTCACAAATTATTTAACAAGGTTTGAAATGAAACTTTGATAACATTGGAAGCAGCCAACAACAATGTATTAAGTAGCATTCAGTGGAAGACAGTAAAAAAGGAAGAATTTATTAAGGCAAGAACTTTCACCTGTGTAAGGCCAGGAACCTGAGTCGTAATGACAAACTGTTGCCCACTGCCAGTAGCGAGCACATTGAGGCCTTGAGCAGTAGCGAGAACCTGCTGTAAACTGACAGTCTGTTGAGGTGCACCTCCGTTACTCGCACCTCCATTGTTGCTTGCACCCCGGCTAAGGGGTGGCAAGATAGGTGTACCTTGCTTGTCGCTCATTGCATGTTATACTGGAACAACAAAAGAGCAACGCTATATAGGTGTTGATATTGCATAAAAATCAAGCTGACATTCTTCCACAAGGAATAAAGTACAATGACGTTATTTTAAACATTGTTATTCTCTCCATAGCTCTCTATCTTAATTGAAAAAATAATAGCTAACAAGCATGATCCGAACAATATGATATAAAATTCCTAAGATATTCAATTAATTATCGAATAATGGATACATTATTGTGGTGGCACGCGCATGAATGTGCAAAAATTCAAGTCCCGACAACAACAGCGGTAGCAGCAGGCATCACGGCGGACGGCGCGAGCGGGCCTCGCTCTCGTCCGTCCGCGAGAGAGGAAGCATCGATCGTCCGTAAACGTGAATCGAGACAGGGAGAGAGAAAGGGAGAGAGCGGCGAGCGTCGAATTTGACGAAGGCGATGCGCGCGGCCTTGTAAAAGGGCAGGTATTGCGCAGAACGCGACGTATATACAATCGAAATTCAGCGTCGTGTACGAGGACGAAGTGTCGGGAATCGCGCGTGCCAGAGGAGGAGGGGATGTCATATCGCGAGGTGTCAAGAAATGCCGAACTCGAGAAGCGGCCCGGCCGAATCTCGCGTCCTGCACGGAGATCGTCGCCGAGGTTGCCACGGCCACGTTTTCGCCTCGACGAGCGACTTCTCGCCCACGGCGAGAACCGGTGCCGTGGTAACACAATCGTCGTCGCGATGATCGGCGCCGGCGAAGGCGCGGGGAAACGACCTCGTCGTAGACGACGCTCCGAGTCGACGGACGAGGATGCCGTGACGCGACGCGGCGCAGCGCGGCGCGGCGCGGCGCGACGCTGTGCGGTACGACGCGGACGGGACGCGGTGCGGAGCGGAGAGGTGCGGTGCGGCGTGATACAAAGGAAATTTTTCGTCCGCCATGTTGGCGTTGCACCGTAGCGAGAGGGCGGACTTACCACAACGTAATCACAAATTTCCACGGCGTAGACGTGCCATCCGCGGTAATAATCGTCACACCCGTGATCCGCGTGGGCCGACTCGCAATTGGGTACCTCACGTAACACACGACGAATGAGATATATCTAATATTTTACGATACATCGTCACACCGCACGGCCAAGGACGTGTACACGCTCCTAAACATGGCGACGGCTCCGAGACAAATTTCGTGGCGAGCCTCGCTCGCTGCGGCGGCCAGCCGGAACCTCGCGTCGATCGCGCAGAGATAGCGCTGCTGTGCGCCGCCAGCGGCCACCCGATTGGCCAGCGTCGGCCGTTGCGCGCGGCAACGTGGCAGCGCCGGCTGCGCACGATTGGTCGACACGCGCGAACGTTCGAATCCGTTGCCGAGTTCACACGAGTCGTCCCGGGCTCGTCGAGGGAGCTCGGCCGAGGGAGCGGCGATTAAATCTCGCAAGATTGTCCTCTCCGAGAACATTTCGCGTCTCCGTGGCCTCTTACGTTCCTCTCCGCCGTTGTCTCTCTCGCTTCGTTCGATCGCGTCAGGCGTTGCCGTTTCCGCATCGGAGACGAGACAAATGTTGCGTTCGCATCGGCTGTGAGAAAGGAGCTGCAGCGAGAATGCACGAAAGGCTCGTGCCTTTGTAGCTGTATTCAGAGAAGACGGGAAACTAGCTATTTCCGACGAGTCGCGACGATATCCAACGGGAAAATTTATTTTTAGCGATTCTCGGAAGATACATTTTTTCTATTGGATATTGCAATCTCTCCCCGGATATCTTTCGTTTTAGGCTAATGAATGAAGAATTTACAAGACGCCCGATGCCTCGTGTGGAGCATAAGGCACAAAGGATGTGGATTTTTTGTCACCTTAAGTTGCGGAATGTCTTTGATATTTGTTAGGAGAATTTATCTAGTGAGAATCACTGAAAAATTGATTCTCCCATCGGACTACAAATGTATCGCGAAATCGTCCAAATGCCCGCACTTTTTTGCTTTCGATTTCGCAGTGAGTTTTAACAAACGCTTTGAATATTCTGACCGCATGTACAACGTCGTTAATACGTGACACTAAACTATAATATAATATTGAAACGTGACTTCCTCTATAACATTCGTGCAAAGAAATCGCATCGAGAGAGAGAGAGAGAGGGGGTACTTGTGTGGGATAGCTATCTCTTTCTTTTGCAGGCGCAGCCAACATTTCGCACAACGGCCATCGAAAGACCAATTAAATCGATCCGCTTAACTTTTATTGCTAGGATGTTTCAATAGACTCCGCCGGTAAAACATAATTTTTATTTGTGACAATTTATAACCGACGGAGTATTGTCAATGTTTTATCGGTCAATTTATTTTACGGAAATAAGGATAAGCTTTTTCATTGGATTGCATGTAAAAGACAATAATCTCACTAAAATCTTTTCTTTTTCTCTCTCTCTCTAATCACTTTTCGAGCACCAATATGAATTATTATAATTCAATATATGCATTTATTTTTATATTTGTTCTTTATGACTCAGCATTTTCAAAATTATTTTGCAACCTTTCTTTTTTTTTCCAATAAATGTAAAATGTATGAATATATGCTTACTTTAAGTACAGACAGTAGTCATAAAGAACAGAAAGTCAACCACGATTTTCGGATTAGGTGAAAATTACAGAAAATAACAAAAGTGAGCAACTCGTCCAATCACAGTTGATCTCACCTCGTGAATATAAAATTACTCGCGTGAGCGAACTCGACACGAAATTTCATGTGAAAAGGCGAAATGATGCAACAAAATGTATCTGTCTCGTTTTAACTTACTACACCCGTTCCGTGGTGCAGCTGAAAAGAACAGACCAAATGAAGCAAATGGGATCGGTATAATTTCCACCGTAAAGTAACATTCTAGTAACATCGAACAAAAACCATCATCTAGGGAATAATCAAGATGAAAAATAATCGATTTTATATAAGAAAAACAACCACCCATGATATCGCCCATCTTCATCGCGAAGGTGCTCGGACAATTTACGGAGCGGATTGTAAAAGAGGGACCTAACCTATCTCTCTAAATTCTCTTTTTCTCTCGAAATGCGCAATTCCTCTGACCCCTCAACTCATAGGCAGGTTAACGTGCACGAGATCGCCGTAGAGGACAGCAGAACTCAGTATCGTTCATCTGCTCGCCACGTGGCATACCTGGAGCCTCTTCTCCTCGCCGAGTCGAGGCCCGCCTTCGTTTCGCGCGGCATCGCAATCGCAATCGACACTACGGATATATTATTACACGAGCTGAGACGACTCACCTGTGACTCTCGCCGGATCATACCGCTGTCGTGGCCGCCGTCGTCCTCGCCATCGTCGACAGCGCTCGACGGCGAATCTGCTGTTGCCGGCGGCGAACGTCCCACCCGTCGTCGGCCCGTCCAACACGCGCACGTGCGTCCGTCGCGCGAGAGACTCGGCGTCGCGGTGCCGTGGGCCGGCATTTTTGCGTCCGCCGGTCGATCTTCGGCTCAGGGTCTCGCGCGCGCGGCATCTTCGCTGGACGAGAAAGCACGTAGGACGCGCCGGGGATCGCGCGCTCCCTGATCGACGATCGGATCGTTGCGCACTGCAGCGACTGCGACGGACAACACCGGAGGCGCAAGGCCGAATGCGACGAAAGGACGCGTCGCACGCGCACATTACGTGCCGAAGAGCGACACCGCCCCCTCCGCGTTGTCGCGGCGAATAAATTTCAAAAGTGGCAACAAGCCCGCCCGCGTTTCATTGTCCCTGCGAAGACTGTTCGTCGAGTATATTTCAGGTAGGTTTCATGAAAATTGTCAATTGGCGTGTTGCTGAAAATATCGATTCGACCGAGCGATGAGCAAAATGATTGATACGATAGATCGCGCGATAGGCACTTTTTTCTTCTTTCGCGTCCTCTAGTTGCCGCGTTTTCTCGTCGCCAGTTTCCATTTTTTCTGACGTTCAATATCGTGCGAGGAATACCTGATTTCATATTTTTGAGATTTGTGTGAACAGTTATGAGCTTACGATTCAAGATATTTGTTACTGGTAGACTGGAAAATGGTGAAGTTGAACGCGAGTGTTCATCCCAGTCTATCCGAGACAGTGACGGAGAATTTGAGGCGAAGAAATATGGTTACAACCGCCGATTTCATCGCAGCGGATTCTGTGGAGTTGGCGGCATTCACCGGCCTTTCTCATGCGGTAAAAAATTAATGAAAATAAATGTCTTGAAAGTAATTGAGACGAATATGTTCATTAAAAAAATTATTGTTTGTTTGAATCATTGTTTTGGAATGTGAATTTTAAATGATATTAATATCGATACCTGTGCAGGAAATATTGCAAGTGAAGCAGCACATATTGAAGGAATTTGGATATACAAAAAGGAGTGGTCTTGATCTTTTTGTAGCAGAGAAGAACGTGATATCGACTGGTGTAACATGGTAACATGTTTTATTCAAATAATTTTGCTTGGTTAACTGCAACGTTTAATCAATCAACAATGAAGTAAAATTATGTAGGGAGAGAATGACACTCTCATTTTCTGAAATCTCATATTTGACTATCCGCAAGGTAGCTTGGATGAGTTACTGAGAGGTGGCTTGTGTCCTGGGTGTTTGTGTGAATTGTGTGGTTCATCATCTTCTGGAAAAACTCAGTTGTGCTTGACGATAGTTGCCAATGTTGCTGCCACTCAATCAGACATTATTGTGTGGTATTTTGATACGAAGAAGGACTTTTCTAGATTAAGATTTGAAGAGATATTAAAAGCAAGGAATTTTGGGCAGGAGGTAATAAAGCTCTGGAAAGTAAAAATTAATTAATAAACATGTCAGTCGCAGGTCAATAATGTATATTAGAATGTGAATGAAAAATTGTATAGTTTATCAATAAAATAAAGGAAGCTTTTCATCATATAGATCATAAAGGAAGCGATGCAACATACTAAAGTTTGTCATGTACATTCGTTTAGTGAGTTAATACAAGATTTACGGCAGCTGTTGGCTCTTTACAAAACAGAAAAATACTCACTGAAAGAAAAGAGGTTTCTCGTGATCATTGACTCTTTAACAGCGATCATCTTTGAGGTATGCATTAGCTGAAGTAATTTTTAATATATATTTTAATAATGATTATTCAGTTTCAATAAATGCACTTGTCTCGTGTTTTCTCAGTTCCCTTAAAAGGGAAAAGTAGAAAAATAATAGAGATAAGTCTTGATATATTACAGTTAATAAAATTATAAATGAAATATTTAGAATATATGTGGAAAGATTGCTTCTAAATAATCGTCTCTAATAATTGCATCTAAAAATAACTGCATTTCATAAAATTCGATTTAATAAAATCATTTAGAAGTGCAATATCGCTTTCCCATCATCATAATTATTAACCCAACAGTTATAAAAGACTTTACTTACTCTTTAACAACAATGTTTGCGTGCTGCTCAGACGACGCGGCAGATGCAACAGAAGACCTGCGAATCGATCTATCAGCTGGACGAACTAGCGGAGGTGTGTCGATTTCTTATATTCGAATGTCGGGCGACCGTAGTCACGGTGAACTCCGTCAGCCGTTGGAATTCTACAAACGGAGCGAAACCTGCTGACGTCACGCCAGCATTGGGTAAATACTGGATTCCTATACCAGCCACGAGATTGCTGCTGGCGAGACAACAGCACGGCGAGATCAGAAAGATCACCGTTTTGAGGGATCCACGAGTAAAGTGGGAGGACTCATGCACCGTGAATGTGTGCGGTGCCGGTGTAACGTCGAGATAAAGCACAAAGGATGATGCCATTTCGATGAATGCATTCGCAATAAGTCCCAGTGAATATCACTGAGACCTATTATGAAGAGATATTCAGGTATAAAATCTTGAGAGATTATGCTGATTCATTTGGACTACTGCGGTCTTACAATTATGTCGACTCATAATTGTTAGAAAATTTGATACCTTCAAAGTAATTTAAACGTCAACAAAATGATCGGCAATCTGGAGTCTTCCAGCAATGCGCAACGAGTTTAGGTTTGAAGTACAATAAGTGTTAGTTAGAAGTTACGTAACGGTGTCAGGCTTAAAGCAAAAGGCTAAAGGATTCGCCGTATCTACTGTAGGTCGAACCTTACACTATAGTAAAATAATACTTTAAGTAATAACATGGCCAACGGCTGTAAGAACGAAACTGGACGTTGGGCAACTACTATAAGCTCTCTGATTGCTGGTCATTTTAATGCATCGAGGTAACGGTGATTGAGTGGAGAAGGATGATTTCGATCGGTCGATTTTGATTTTATTTCCTTGCCGACACACAATGCACAATACGTTCCGTTTATTCCTCCGTCGACGAACGGCGTGCATGATCGCGAGTATTACGGTTTCTTCTTTTTTTTTTTGTTCGTTTCTCATCCTCTTACGACTTACAATACGTATACGTGCATCTCATGCACCTTTAGACGGGCACTCACACTCGCATTTTGCACGGGCACTCACCGCGCTCCCTGCGCTATATTTACAACGATAGTCGTCACTTGTTACATGTGCGGGCTGCGCATTTCCAGAACTCCGCTATCTCCAACCAACTTCGCCCCGCGATTTGGCCGATATGGTACACGTTGCGTTTTCCGTCAAACGAGAGAGAGAGAGAGAGAGAGTGAGAGTGAGAAAGTTTCCGCTCATGTACAGTCTGCAAATAAATTGGCCTGCGATCACCGCGAAAGTGTGCAGCGACATTTCATTCAACGCGACGCTACATTGCAAATCTCGACGAGAGTAATTCTGGTCTGAAGACGGAAAAAGAAAACTCAACCGAGTGTCGTTGGCGACCACGTAGAGAGAATTTTCATAGAGAGAATAATTGTGAGGCGACGTTAAATTACTGCTCGAGTTCGCGCAAACTCTCGAGGTACGAGGCGCTTAAAGAAAAACTGACACTGGCGAGGAAAATCTATAGAAAACGGCATCTGGCTCCGCGCAGCACCTTTGCCTTTTCGTCTCGTGTTGCTCTCTGTAAACGGTGAATTTTCACGGGGGGAATAACGGGTGTTGGAAACAAACGACTCGCTCGACGGTCGATACAGTGTGGTGAGGGGGATCGCGCGCGAGCCACCCGGAATCGCGAATCACGCGAGACGGCCTCGTGTTATTCGTAAACAAATAAATAATTTATCTCCTCGGTATATGTACTCCCGGCTCGCACCACCAAGTCGCACTCGGCATGCAGGAGCTCAGCCTTACGCGTGTGTCCTTACGATTAAGTATCATTTAACACCTAAGAGTCATTATGGAAGATTGAAGTTGCGCCGCCGTGCTTTCGCTCGCCTGCCCTGCCCGATTAATTCGCTCGCTGCTGACGACGATAATTGATTAAATAGTCGAGTCGCACGAAAGCGCGCAGGATGTGAGAGTTCCATCTGTAGAGCGCGTGCGTTCGTTCTGCGGGGATTGTATGGGGAATTGTTCTCTGACCGTTTTTTTTCTCTTCTTTCCGAAAGGTGAGGACCTGCTCGAGGTATCCCCATTATTCATTCACGAGGAGGATTTCGCTCCTCACTGAGGATCTCGGAACTCGCTGTATTTACAGTAACGCAGCATATCATGGAAGACGACTGTATCAGCTATGGAAGGAGGTCACACAGAGTGGCGTTCAACGTGGCGCCAGCCGATAAAAGCGTGATTCGTGCACGCAATGCGGGAAGAGCACCGTTACTCTCTTTTTCAACGTGCTAAGAGGTGCTTCCTCTAACTTTTAGAATCGCTATCGGAGAATAGCGTCGCTCGCGCGACGCCTTGTAGAACTCTAATCGGCTCTGCGAACGTTATATCATATTGGCACAGTGTCGAGTGACGAATTTCTTTTTGCTTTTTTCTTTTTTCTTCTCTTTTCTTTAGGAAAAATCGAACACAAGTCTCCTACGGTCCTGTACACGTATATATCTATAGAGTCTAAAGTAGTATAAAATATTTTACATCTGCGGCTATATAGTATTAGTACTTTCTCTCGCGTTTTTTGCTCCATCACTTCTACCCTTCCCTTCTTTTTTTCTTCCTTTTCGCTCTGACGGCGCATCATCGAGGAATGCATGAGAAATTTGCTCTACGGCTAAGAGGAGTCCGTTTAGTTTCTGGATAAATGGATACTTTCCAGATCCCGTTAAAAATCCTAGAAAAGGACAGTAGGCTTTCTCATTGTAACTCATTATACACACATACACACGTATGTATGTACATGGGGTTCTTTTTTTTTCGTGATACCCAAGAACCGTATACTTTTATGCTACTACAGCGGTAACTCTTTAGCGGAAATCGAATAAACGCCCATAAATTCAAATGTATATAAAAGTTTACGGGAGGGGGGCAAGGAAAGAGAAAGAGAGAGAGAGAGAGACAGGGGATACAAGAGAATAGAAGAGAAGCGGATCCTTCTCGAATCGCTTAAAGATCCTACCATGAGGGAAGACACGCGATTGCTCACGTCACACGGCGTGATTTATGCGTAAGAGAGTCCTTTAGACCGATCGATCGATCGATCGCAAATTAATTGATTAATTTCGTGGCCTTTTCGCCACTTCTCGGTCGCGACTGCGATTTCGTACCTGATTCATTCGGAATTCAATCGAGAGGCAGGCGAGCGATAGGCGGCGATTTTGTTTCGACAAACCAACGCTTGAGGAATCTGCTCGCTCGTGCGCGCCGTGCGCGCGTCGCTTTGCGCTCGCGATACGTCCACGATTGTAAATGTGGCCGTGCGATTTCATGCTCGCGCTGCGATGAGCTTCAACGAGGCCTCTCCTGAGCATTTATCAGGACGAAATTCGCCAGTCCTCAAGTCGTTTGCATTGTTTGGATATGCGTGTGTGCATCGTGTTGATTATTCAGTCGTCACTTTGCGATAGTTCGCCATATCGTGTAATAATCATATATTGTACATGATATTTTATCGTATCGTGTCATGTCATGTTCAACCACGGTGGGAATGGTCGAAACAACCAGCGAGTTTCGGCCTGGCAAATGTTCAGGCTTCGTTGAAGCTTGATAATACTCTTGTTAGTCGATACACTCGAGAATCACGATCGTGTTTGTGATGTCGCAAAACGTCGCAACGTACAAAACGTGCACGAGCACTTGCATCCGCATTCGCATCCATCTGTACACGATCGCGCGTAATATCCGCAAGGTCAGAAGAGACTTCGCTGCCGCGTTCGCGGCTCAACGCGTCGATTGATGCGTCCCTACGCGCATAAGGAATCGCACTGTGTGTACTGTGGTGTATGTGTGTGTATGTGTATGGATGTGCGCGGAAAAATACTGTAATGTGTGTGGAGGAATATGTGTGTGCTTATGTGTTTCTCTTCAGCGTGTCCCGTTAGCACCAAACTTAGGGTATAATAGTACATGTATCGTGTGTGTGTGTGTGTGTGTGTGTGTGTGTGTATGTAAAATCCTTGGAGCATGGTCAGAATTTACGAGGGACACTCCTAGTGTAACACATGAACTTGTGGCGCGAGAAACTCGCGGTGTTAACGCGCGCATGATTATTCTTCTGGCGTTGCACCGATCCTACAGCGCGCGCGACGTTTTAATAGAGATTAAAATACTTTCGAGACATTCGAAAAAATGGACAGACTTTCTTGGAATATTTTAGCAAGATTAATACGCGTATAACGTAGCCGCCCGGCCGTGTCTGGCCTGACGGGCATTATGTCATACTTATTCGTAGGTATCACATGCGCTCAATCGCGAAAAGCACGCACACACCCGACGGAGATGATCTCAAGTGCGAGGAAGCAGAAACGAACGGAGACGGCGCAGGAAGAACAAGTAAAAATAACGTTCTGTAAAAATCGAAGCATCGGCCTCACGGCAGTCGCGAGACTCGCATCTCGTCGTCGACTCGATCCTCCCATTCGTCAGAAAATCGAGAAGGCTTGTGAAGACTCAAAAGCCCGTGAAGAATGTAAATTGCAAGACACGCTATAACAATAAAAGAATCTTCACGAGTTTTTATCGAAGAAATCGCTGCGCGATACACAGACAGTCGAGAAATTTGGCATCATTTCCACCAGTTCATTCCTCTTCCTTTTGCCACGGGGGTGTGTTTTCGCGATTAGACGCACGCACACATATATTCGTCTATCTATCTATCTATCTATCTATCTATTGTTCCGCTAGCGACACTAATAATCGTGTCGATCTAATTATCCGAGTGCGATAGCGCGCGTGTCCGCGCCTTCCGCGCGCTCCCGGAAAGGGACGTGTCCCACATACATACACACACACACACACACACACACATACTGATACTCAGTATACTTGCGGCGTGATCGAGAGAAAGAGAGCGCGTGATTAAGGAAATATAATTAATTGTCGGTACCCGTATAATCTCGATAAGATTCCTCGCGGCTGCTCCGTGCTAGTCACTAGTCACCGCGTGTGGCGTATCACGCGCAACGTATACAGAGTCCAAAGTATCCTGCGTGAGAGTATCGCACGTGTGACGTCGACGTCAATTGGAGAGACGGAAGAGAGCACGAGGGAGAACAGGCCGGTGGATGTCGACCGAGGTCGCTCGTCGGCTCGTCCCCATCGATCTCTCTCATGACATACAAAAACTGATCGGATTGCTCGGACTAGTCGGCTCTATTGGCTCTCGCGGGCGATTGACAATCTCGCACCTCTCGCGAGGACACGAACAAATGGCGGGACGTACAGCCACTCGCGCGTGGCTCTCTCAGCTTCGTGAGCGCGCGGAATCGGCGGCTCCGGACACGTCGCGAGAATTAGCAAAAACGTAAGATCGGTACAGTACGGTCGCACTTGTTGAGCAAACGATCGCCGTGCGCCTGGGAAGATATACATTTGGCACTGGATTCTCTCTTTCATTCATTCACCCATTCGTTCATTAATTCATTTACTCACTCATTCATCCATTCATTCATTCATTCACTCATTTTCTTTTTTCCTTCTTTCTCACTTCCTGGAGGAAAGACCTTCGTTCTTCATCCGTCACGACGATGCGACCCGCGCAGCGGACTCTCGATCGCGCGACCCCTGCCAGCTCTCAACTTTATCTACGACTTACGAATGTGTACTTTGATATCGCTTATCACTATCACCGGTAAATTCTCTAGAGCTCTAAGCTCTAAAATACGGCGTCAAGAGGCTCGCCTCTTCTATATGGAAGATAACTCGAAACACGCGAGGATCCCCTCGTCAATCACGCGGGGGATCCCGATTACCTCTAACTTTGATCGCGCGTCAGTTTGTCTCGTTCGATTATTTTTGTTTTTTTGTTGTTTTCTTTTGATTTCACTCGTTGGCCACCACGGCTGCACCATCGTCGTCGTCGTCGTTTCTCTCGCCCTTGCCTTGTTTCAGGAACTCAACCGGATTTCGCGAAATTAAAAAA